GTAAGCATGTCCTCGACTTTTTCTTCTTATACTTATTCTTCTTTCCCTTTTTTTTTTGTTTTTTACATTGTTCCTTTACATCGTTTCTTATTTTTCCATTTCTCTTTTCTCTTCTTTTCTTTCCCTTTTTCTTTTTCTTTTTCTTTTCTTTTTTTTTTATATCTTTCTTACTCGAAGAGATCTCCTTTATTCCTCGTCTCCATTGCCTTCAGCTTTTTCGAGTTCTCTATGTCTGCTAGCATTAAGTAGAACAGCCGGGAGACACAATACCTAAGGAAGGAACATATTTTCTTTCTTTCTTTTTTTTTGTCCTTCCTTCTTTCCTTCCTTCCTTCCTTTCTTCCTTCCTTTCTTTTTTGCTTTTATCATTTTTCTTCTTCCCTCTTTCCTTCCTACCTATCTACCTACCCACCTCCCTACCTACCTACCTACCTATCTACCTACCTACCTCGTTTCTCTACCATTTTAAACTACTATAGACTAGGTACACCGAATTCTCAGGATCTTTCCTTCATTTTTATTTATATCTTTGAGAATAGTGAAATATATTTCTCTCTCTCTCTCTCTCTCTCTCTCTCTCTCTCTCTCTCCCCCTCTCTTTTTTCTTCTCTGTTCGTTTCTTTCCCCTTTCCTTTTTTTATTTATTTATTTATTTATTTTTCTTATTATTATTGTTTTTTTTTCTTTTTCTCATCCATACCATTACCTCTCCCTATATATATATATATATATATATACGTATATATGTTCTCTTATGTTCGTTTATGTATTTCCCCTTTTCTCTCACGTTCATTTTTATTTCGAGAGGATTAGAACTGCTGGGAATATCCCGAAGGATTGTCGAAAACAGTTTGTGAGAAAAATTCGATCTAACCGTACGGTACGTTCCGTATCCCTTCCTCCCTTTTCCCCCCTGCCCCTCTCCCTCCTCTCCCTCCTCCTCCTCCCTTTTCCACCCTTTTCCTCCCTTTTTCTTCCTATATGGCAATCCAAAAAAGGGGGTAGAGATTATTCGCGTATATAAAATAGAACTTTTCCACGTCGAGGATTGTTCGCCCAACGCTAAATCCTGTTTTATTGGAAGGATGCCGGCTCCGTTCGCTTGTTTACAGCCACAGAGAGAGAGAGAGAGAGAGAGAGTGAGAAAGAGAAATAGAGAGAGAGAGAGGAATAGAAAAAGAGAGAGAGAGAAAGAGAGAGAGAAATAGAGAGAGAAATAGAAAAAGAGAGAGAGAGAGAGAGAGAGAGTAGAAACTCCTCTACCTTTCTCTTCCTGTCAAACTTTCGAAAATTCAAAGCCCTGCCCGCGGATTTAAAACGACGTCTCACGAATCGGCTTTCGACGTAAAACGGACGGATCCGGGCTCTCTATCTTTCTCTCTCTCTCTCTCTCTCTCTCTCTCTCTTTTTCTCGTCGATCGATCGATAAATTTGACGTAGTTTTATGGAAAATGAAAATCGAACGTCCAGTAAAATGTGATATACGTGATACAACGTATATCGAATTCTTACAAATATTATATACCATTTATACGGGCAAGCAGAATGGATCTTTTTCTTTCTTTTATTTTTGTTTTTTTTTTTTCTTTTTTTTTCTTTTTCTTTTTTTTCTTTATTTTATTTTCCTTCTCCTTTTTTGTCCTTCACAAGATGACCAACGAAAAATCTCGATTACTTTTGTTTTATTACGTTATAGAAGATATTTATTAACAATTTCATCAGCGAAATTTTAGAACGCATTTTTTAAATATTGTATATATATATATAGGAAGAAAAAATTGATCATGATTGATATTGCTGTCAATTGAAATTATACACTTATATATAATATGTGTGTGTGTATAATTCGTATATTCGTCGAGTATTATTTTATTATGTTATTAAAAGTTTCATTAAAGATTCACATATATAAAAAGAAAAAAAAAAGGTTAACGAGCCATTAGTTTTAAGTGGAAAATTATATTTAACGAGTATTACATAAGTTTTACATTATATAATATTATGTAATATATATATATATATATATATATATTTTAATCGTGATGGAAGTCGATTTAATGGGTTAATATTATACGTGAAAAAAAAAGTTCTTTGGATAAAAGGGAAGAGAAAAGAAAAAATATTGAATATGACAAAAAAGAAAAAACAAAAATAAAAGAAGAATAGAGAAACGATGCAATCAATATGCATGTGCGTGCATTATTGGAGCGAGAGAAATAAAAAAAAAAAGAAAAAAAAAAAAAGAAAATAGAAAAAGAAATAATGCAACGTCCGCGTTATCGTGGACATCGAAATCTTTCAGATCGATATTATTTCATCGGGTATTTTCAACAACCACCCGATACCAATATATTTTCTATCTCCACAGAGGAGCCATTTATTTTATCGATCTTACCGTCGAATACGACCACGGCTACGACTACGACTACGACTCCTTCTCGAAACATCGTTTTAGCGCCCGCCATACACGCTTTTTTATATCGACATCGTGTTTATCGGCAAGTAAATTTTCTTTGGGAGATAGATTCTTCTTCTTTTCTTATAAAAGTATTTATAAAAAAAAAGAAAAAAAAAAAAAGAAAAAAGAAATGAAAAGGAGAAAAAGATAAAAAAAAAAATAAATAAAAGAAAATTTAATAAAAGGAACGATAAGAGGCCCTGAAACGATAAGGCCCCTATGATAAATCTGACGTGACTACGTTCGAATTCTCGAGTCAACAAATATATTTAATTATTTATTTATTTATTTATTTATTTATTTATTTATTTATTTATTTATTTATTTATTTATTTATTTATTTATTCGTTTATTTATATAAATATATTTGTTCCTTTAAATGTCTTTCATATTTTCGATAATTTTTCAAAAGCAACAACAACAACAACATTTATTACATATATTTAACGAATATCATAATGAATATCATCCATGAATATATAATAGTTGTATCCTTTTATTTGTTTTTATTTTTCGAATATTATTATTATTATTATATAAAATAAAAAAACAAAAAGAAAAAAAGAAAGAAGAAGAAGAAGAAGAAGAAGAAGAAATGGAAAAAAGAAAAAAGAAAGCAGAAGAAGAAGAAGAAGAAGAAGAAGAAGAAAGAGAAAAGGAAAGAAAGGAAACTTTCGGTGGAATAATATGCAATTTTTAAAGATCGATTATTTCCTTAGTTCGTGCTACCGTCAAAAGCAACAGAGGAGCCAATTCAAGGGAAGTCTAACTTCGATAGACTCCGCTTCGTATAATCTTAAATACACGGATATACACGGATATATACCTATATTCGCTACACACACATAGACACACACACACACACATACACACAAAAGCATCCACGTACGTATACAATGACGTAAGGAGACACTCGAAATTCGATTTTCTCTCGACATTTTCGGATTAACGGCGAGTCGATCTTAAACGACGAAGTTTTGACGGTCTGTTATTATCTTCGCATCAGTGCTTCTCCACCTTCCAGAGAGATGATAACGCTTCCGGAAGCTGTGCTTTCTTAAGCTCTCTCTCTTTCTCTCTCTTTCTCTCTCTCTCTCTCTCTCTCTCTCACCGTATATATATATATATATATATATCTCCATCTTGTTCTTTGTAACAACGAAAGGAAGCACTTCTCGTGACGAAAATTACTCGTTGCGCGTGCGCAAGAGAGCGAACGAACGAATGAACGAACGAACGAACGAACGAACGAACGAGCGAGCGAGCAAGTCGAGTGCACGGTCTTGCTTTAAAGAAAAAGCTTTTCTTCTCAGCTCTAAACGAAAAGTTTATCCTTACCGAAGACAGACAAACTTTACTTAAGAGAAACTTTCGACTAACAGTTTAAAACCGTATCCCCAAGCGTGCTACTATGTGTCTGTGTTAAAATTGAATTTTTTTTCTCCCTCTCTCTCTCTCTCTCTCTCTCTTTCTCATAGAAGAAAGATAAAGAAACCAACCAAAAAAAAAAAAAAAAATATATATATATATATATATATATCGATCATTCTTATCGATCAAGATTGATAGTCAGTTGGATAGATATAGCGATGTAGTATATAAGAATTCGATCGTATTTCACCTCCCCCTGCATCTTCGAACTTCACCCCCTTCCCACCCCTCCTCTTCGCCATGCCCCACCCCGTCCCATCCCGCCCCACCCCACCCCACCCCCTTGCCACCCTCATCGATCATTGTTCTTTCTCATAAGTTTTCCTTCGAAACTTTTTCAACGTTAACTCTTAATCAATTGTTGGGATTCACTTAAGGATAAATATTATCAAACTGAATGAGATAAACCAAGTAGGTATCGGAATAATATAATAACGTATCTTAGGTATTATTACGTAGATCGTATGTATACTTCTAATTCAAAACTTAAACTGGATACAATAACGTAAGTACTTAAATACGTGGAAGTTGCGAGGAAACTTTATGAGATAATAAGGGTGCCGTTTGTGGCTTCCACTAGGTTTAGATTACTAGACTATAAATTATTGTCAACATAATCTCTCTCTATCTCTCTTTCTCTCTCTCTCTCTCTCTCTCTCCCTCTCTCTCTCACTCTGTGTGTATGTGTGTGTGGATATATCTATCTCTCTGTTTCTCACTATCGTACACAATGTATGTACATAGGTGAAAACGAAATATTCTAACCAACCAAACGTGCACAGTAGACAAATGAAACTGTGGATTACCAAAACGTGACGTCATGACTGCAACGAACAGACGAAACGACGAACAACATTCTACGAGAGCCACGATATATATATATATATATATATTTTATATATTTTATATTATATATCTATATACGTGGGTATGTAATGTGTATAATAGATCAAACGAAAATGTCATCTTTTTGCGAGGCATGACCACAGCTAGTCCAGAATCCTGGTCCAGATATAAAGCATTGTATATTTTCTTTTTTAAAAATATACAAGAAACTTCTTTCCCTCTCTCTCTCTCTCTCTCTCTCTCTCTCTCTCTCTCTCTCTCTCTC